ACATCGCTGCTTTCCTAGAACGCTCCTCCCGCGTGAGAGTCACTGCAACAACGTGAGTTGCCTTGCAGCTCCATCACCAGAAGCATCTGACTTGTCACCAGTTCCTGCACAGTCTACTTACACCAGGCGAATGCCATGATCTCGTTATGTAGTGCATTGAAGTCAAGATAGTCAAGGAGAGATCGCAGATCCTCCATCCGCCCACCCGCGCAGCGGATGGACGCACCCGTTGGACACCTCGGGCCAGGTCGGTGCTGCCCCTCCTTCGCAGCACCGCGTCAGCACCCACCTCGTGAATGTGCTGTCCGGTCACATAATGCAACACCTGCAAAGCATCACATCATGCAAACTATACCAAGATCCAACCGAAGGAAGGATGATACTGTGTCATTGTGCTAACGCTAGACACCTAACCCACATGAGGCTAGTGCTCGAAGAGCACCCAAGGCCTGGCCAGTCAGCAGACAGACAAGTCCGTAAGGCTCCCTGTACTGCCACCCCAGTTCCGACCTTCCATCACGCACCAGAGCAAGCGTCCTTGCTATACTCGCTGCGACAGCAAGGTCCTGTCTTCTGACATTCCAACAGATTCGCACCCGCAAGGCGCGGCTGCTACATCCAACTGCAGACCACGTCTGGCGTAGGATCGGATATCCTCCGCAACGCTCTCAAAGACTTCCATGACCAATGCGCAGACATAAGTCAATCCTAATGGTGTCGCTAGGCGAAGCCTATCTAGACATAACCATAACGGCGAGCGAAACCCGCTTACTTCCAAGCAGTTTCCGTCTATGGTCCCATCTTCAACGGTGTCACGCGGTCTATCAACAACCCATTGTGGGTCTAGATCCATGGCAGCCATTTCCCTCGGAAATGGCACAAAGTGAGACTATCTTATGCTCTAAAGTGAGTCCGGTAACTACGATTATTCCCATAGACGCCCCCAGGTCGACGTCTCATGTGAATCCGGCTCACAACATATAATCTCGAGTCACTGCATGCCGGGGTAAAGGGGGTTCAATCCTTTACGCCACCAGCCATCCAGCGTTCCCTGATTCGCAAACCACTGTGCCCCAGCCTGACTAGGTTGATAGACTTTGTTGTTGCTGAGCTAGAACAGGCCAAGAGACAGTCGGCCTCTTCCCGAATCGATCGGACTCACTTCACCCACATATAACCAGCCCGCAGAGTTTGGTCATAGCAGTAAAGTCCTTCGTTAAATAATGCTAGCAAGTGTTTATCTTGATGTGCGTAAGCCCACCCAGACAAGAACAGAAGAAGTACGGCTTTGGTCCGAAGATTCCAAGGCTCCAGAACGGAACTTCCATCGTTCCTAGATCTCATCCTTCTGATCATTGTCCTCCGTCATGAAGTCTTCTCTTGTTTTACCCAACATATCCGCCGTCGACGGAATATAGTCAAGCTGTCCCAAAAACTGGGAAACGTGAGAAGCCGGAACTGCTCGCGTTACCAGATGCGTAGGAAGTTTTCCTCCCGCCGCACCGGTCGCGTCCTGATTATGCAGATCGGTAAGAATAATATAGCGCGCACTGACCTTTTTTACTTTGAACAAAGCTGGATAGTTCTTTGGATCGAAAGACTCCTTCCTTGCTTTATTATTCTTCACTACCGCCAAGTCTCCTACAACCAAGGGAGTCCACAGATGCTGCCCCTGCAGTGTAGTCTGTGCAATCGATCGAATGTTACTCCTCTCGTTTCTAAAACGTTCAGTTTCTTCAGTTATATTCTGACGAAATTTGTTCGCCTCTTGCAAGTACAGGTCAGTCCCAGCGTTCCCGCCGAACGCAGTCCGGAGAGTTTCCGAAAACGCGTGTCGTGGTTTACAGCCAAAGACCACCTCATATGCAGATCTTCCATTCAACACCTCGTATGGTGTTGTTCGCGCAATCCAATTTAAGTAAGGAACAAGCTCAATCCACTTTGAATTCTCCGCAAATTTCATGAGCAACTTCCTTAATGGTTTGTGCAACACTTCAACCAACCAATTCGCCTGCGGGGAATAAGGCATTACTGGAGCATGGTGCACCCCGTACACCTGGAGCCATTTGCCTAAACTCTTGTCGCCTTGTTCGCCGAATCCTCGATCTGATCGAACAATCACTGGGTAACCAGTTAAACAAAATACATTCGCCACCAGCGCTTCCGCAGCCTCTCGCGTGATCTTCGACTTCACCGGGATAAACCAGCTGAACAGCGTGGCGTGATCCCTTACCGAGAGCAAATACCTATAGCCCCGGTCCACTTTGAACGGGCCCACATGATCAACGTTCAAGATTCGAAAGAATCCCAAATACGTCTCGTGGCCTAGTGGGGCCTTATTGCGTGTGTTTGTTGCCTCAGCAATGGTGCACGAAATGCACGACTTGCAATGATTTTGGACATCTCTCCACATTGTCGGCCAAAACACGCTCCGATCAAGTAAATGATTATAAGTCAGGGTCGGCCCGCCATGACCGGTTCCCAACAAAGAGTTATGCGCGAGGATTAAATAATATTTTCTCCAGGGAACCGTTTTCCCTCCCACCGCAGCTGGTTGCTTCCCCCCTAAAGGTATACAAACAACAGGATGGTCTCGAAAACGAGTCATTAAGAGTCTCGTGTCGCCGTCGATCCAATGCTCCGGCATCCGCGATGTTGCGGCTCGACCGATAGCAAGCTCCTTGTATTTTCGAGCTATATCTAGCTCTATCTGTACTAAGTCCCGTCCCTTATTACGCGCAAGACACGCATAGTAAATAGGTCCGTACTCGCGGCATTCCACCTGATCCCTGTACAGGCTACTGCGAATACCAGCACCCTGCAGAGATACCAGTGCGGGAATTACCGAATCCTCACCACAAAACACAAACTTCCAAACTCTTAACGACCACCCTGTCTTCACAGTGAAGGTATGACCATCCTCACTTAGTAACGCCGGGAAGGCCGAAGGAGGCCCCGCCTGTAAGGACGTGGCTTTTCCCGCCATCCATAGCGCTACCCGCGCGACCTGTCCTTCACCTGCTCGCACATCCACACTCGCATCTTCACTTACATTGTCTCGTCGGGCAATGGTATAATTCTGCTCCACCACTGGCAGCGTAGGGAACAACACACGAAATCCCTTAACGCCGTCTGGGTTGGCCAGAAACTTCGTTCGCATCTCGGCCGTAAGGGTCGCGAGATCTGTCGCCGGGACAAACTCTGTCAAGTCAGGAGATTCGCCTGAGTGCGTCCCCTGCCCGCATTGACATCTGCAAAGTATTGCTGGCACTCTCCCAACATAGCATCGCCGAACTTCGGTATAATTCTCACAGGGAGGATCATCCAAAAAACAAGACTGAGGATCCCACGAAGCGGAAACCGTAAACAAATCTTGTGAGACATTCTGAGTAATGGCCGACCTCTCCGGTTTCTTAAACACGTGAAAAAACTCGTGGTGCCCTTTACTCGCCTCATTCCCCTGGATCTCTCCCGCTCGTCTCGCAGCCAGCGTTTCTGCTTCTGCGAAAAGCTCCTTCAACCTTTTCCAGGACGTATCATACGCATGGGTAAAGGTGGCATTGCCCGAGATTCGAAAGAACTCCCTATCCACAGGGCGTCCATCAATAGTACCATGCACCACAATATTGTCCTGCCGCGGCTCATGGCGACGATACAACCGTCGCGGGAGGAAAATCCCTCGATATCGTTCTGTCACAGCAGCAGGCCGAAGCTGTGACCTCATGTGCTTCATGCAAATTCGAAGCCGTTTATTGGCTCGCGACGGCCCCCCAAGGTACTCCAGGAACCTCTCCCAAGACAGGAGCCGCGGATGATTATCCGCGGTGAGTAGCCCCTCTTTCCACTTGAGATCATCAATTGAAGTTACTCGCAGCAAAACCCAATGGATCCCCGCGTCACTCAAACTTGGACACGTAGGGAGTTGCGCCGCTAACGCAGACCCGTTATGTACTTGCTGCGTCAAATACCGCTGCATGGCTGATATTACACTCTCACCGTCGCTTACTGGCCCGCCAGGCAATCGAAGATTGAACTGCCCTCCAATGCCATACTCATCTACATCAGCGGCCAACACACGGCCCAGGTGCGTAATCACCACGGCATATACTCGACGCTTAACCTCTTCCCCCTCCATGCCTACATCTGCTATCAGATTCGGCGCGTCCTCCTCCTCTGAAGCAGACAGCAGCCCCGCATTACAGGGGTTACAGGTCAACTCTTCGCCTTCACTGGATCGAAACACGTGAAACGCGCCTCCATCCTGACGAAACTCACAACTATCGAACATACTTTCATCCAAAGTAACACCTCCTAAAGGTCCCGCACTATTGAGTTGGTTCAACGCTTCCACTTTCTTTCCTACCTGCAGTTCACTGGCCCCAACATCACCGCCAATGGCCCGGTCCGATGCCAATGCACACGGCAAGTGATCGTGGGGATCGTCCATCAATTCACTGGGGTGAATTGGCGGTAGGAAGTTATCCACCGCAAGGACTCTTTTGCGTTCAGCCATCATTTCTTCCAACTGCTCGGGATTACAGAAGATGAACTGCACCAGTGATCGGATACGAGGAAGCATGACAGCTAGGTCATCTAACTCTTGCAGGTCCTCACTCACGTCATCCCCATCCTTCAGACGGGAAAGGGCATCCGCTACCACATTTGCCTCGCCCTTTAGATATACCCTTTTTCCGGTGGACAAAGGGCGGGCAATCAGATAAAACCACCTTAGCAGCTTCCCGCCGGTGGTCTTGTTCGCACAAAGGTTGTTTAACTCTTTCGTTCCTAAATTCTGATGATCTGTGTACATCACCCATTTGCTTCCCTTCACGAGGTTATACCCATGCTTAACAAAGTCCACTATAGCATAATGCTCGCGCTCCAGTGTTGACCATTGCTTTTGCGTTTTATCAAACGAATGGGTCGAACATTTCCATACTCGAAGTTGTCCCGCTGCCGTTCGTTGACAGATTGCCCAAGCAAACCGATGCTGACTTGCTTCGGTGAATACTTCAAACGGTCTTCGCCAAGTATTCGCCGCGTCATAGTCGGGTTTGATCAACACCGCATTCCTTGAGACGACTTTCTTTAACGCCTCAAAGGCTGCGATTGCCGCTTCGTCCGAGTGAAACTCGGCGAACGGCCGCTTCTTTAGCTCATAATCCTTTAGTGGCGCAGCCACATTCTGCAACTCGCTGGTATAACACTGCAGATAGCGCACGACATGCACAAACGAGACCAAGTCCTCCCGGTTCGTCGGTAGCGGCCAGCTTTCAATCTGAAACAATTTCGCCGGACTCGGGTGCATTCCCTGTTCATCGACAATATGACCCAGGACTTCGATTTTGTCGGCACCAATGAACGTCTTGGTTAACGACAATCGTGCTCCACTGGATTCACAGGCTTCAAAGACGCCAATCATCCGATGGATGAACACGTCTAAGTCATCCTCACCGAACCCGATATCATCGATGAATACTTCGCTTAAGTGTCCGAACGCAGCCTCAGTCTGAGCCTGAAACCAACCCGGGGCCGGACTCGGTCCTAACGTCAGACGTGTGGGCAAATATACCCCAGCATGCGTCACAACCGCCAAAAGTCGCTGCGTTTGCTTATCTAGCTTTGCTAGGTTATATGCCAGCGACAAATCCGATCCGAAATATAGCTTTTTCCCTTTCAGATTATGGAAAATCTTCTCCTGATTCGGTGCCGGAAGCGCTATCGGAGTTAGCGCTTCGTTACACTTCCGATAGTCCACCACGATCCGGCCGATAACCGAGTTCTTCCGTGGAGCCAAAAAAGCAGGACTGCAGAAAATTGGTCGCGTGCTGTCAGTCCCATCCCACTTTTCAAACAAGCCGTCATCCAGCTGCGTTTGAAACAGGAAATCCAGACACCGCTTCCCATACGCACTCAACTGCAACGGCTGCGGCAGGCTTCGATGGGTCACTCGATTCGGATTGTAGTCGAAATGGCACACAGTCTTCAGACTAGGGAAGGGACATCCTTCATCGTAGAAATAGTGCGCATTTTCCCGAATCACCATCAGAAGCTTCTCCCTCTGTTCCTGCGAGAGATGGCCGTAACCCTGTAACTGTGCCGAAAACACTTTCATCACATTCGCGGTCCATTCTTCGCTTGGCACCTGCCACTTTTGATTCCTCGCCCGTTTTGCCGTTCGGTCGTCAACTTCCTTCTCAAGGTCCTCGAAATTCTTCGGCTTGGACTTATTCTTATACTTCGCCATATTCACTATACCCTGGATCTGACACACGCTCTCCCACTCCTGGAACAGGGCTCCCATGTGGGCAGTATCCCTTGCCTCAGGAAGTTCTTCGGAGAAGACATGCGTTTTATTCGTCGCGGCAGCGGCTGCCGTCCCTCGAAACTCCCTTGTGCCAGCTTCTCGCTGCTGACTTTTCATCCACTTGTACCATTCCCATCTTACATTAGGGAGGTCCACCGGTGGATCCACAAAGTTATGCACTTCGCGGTCCCAATCCGAAATTTCAGAGGACTCGTCCGCAAAGGTTCCCCCGAGACGCCACACATCTGCGCATACTCGGCTGCCCAGCGTTGCCATGCCAGGATCATAGTCCGTGCTATTTACTTTCATCAAGGAGGGCTCGCCCCCAGCGAGCAGCCCATGCTTGCCCACGATATCCCACAGACCCAGATCGGTGATCAGGGCCGCAAAGGTCATACACGATTTCCACCCGCTGAACGGATCCCAGCGGTTATTTTGAATTTTTGAAGAAATTTTCGGAGAAACTGGGTTGTCCTGCGATTGAGGGTGTTGAATATCCCTATGTATAACACCCTCGCCCCCTGGCTGTGGCGTAGTACCTCCAGGGGTTTGAGCTACAGCCATACTGTTACTCACCAGGGTCTCTTTTGTTACTGGTTCCAACGGCTGGATTTTGACATGCTCTCGCGTTAGCGCAACACTCCGCGCCTTCGGTCTATGATTAAAAATTTCCACCACGTGCTCGGTTTCTTCAGTATCAGAGGCTTCGATTAAAACCGGAAGGAACGATATTCCATCTCTTGCAGCTTTCAAACTTGGCTGCACTACGGCCATCGTATTCGGATGATTAATCGGCGGACAGCGAAGTGTTGCTGTAATGGAGGCGAAAGCCGCTACGTACGCCAGGCGCGTCATCGCATTGATAATCGGTTTGTTGGTGGAAGTATTGAACTCTACATTGGGAACCTCTTCTCCAAGGAGCTCAACCCATTTATTCCCTTTGCTAAGTGGGTTGTAATTAATTCCCAAATCGTACACCGCTGTATCGCCTGCAATGATACATCCAGGGGTGTTCAATCCGTCCACAATCAGAAACTTTCTCTTAAGGTCCAGATATTTTCCAGATCGCGTAGCAATCTTAAAACATAACACACACTCCCGATTTGCGGTATGCGAAAACTTTTTTCTTCCAAAAGAGATTTCCACCGGCTTGCAGCTAAATGGTGGTGAGACCACCGCTTCGAGCTCTCTCTTACCACGCAGCCTCTCGTAGCTTGACTTGTCAATCACGTCGTAGCCCAACCACGCCCCCGGATCCAAGTATAGGGGTACTGGCATGTCCCGGCCGAGAAACCCAGCGATATACACTGGCGTTCGGCGTGGTCGCTTGGCTTCTTGCTTTGTTGCCTCCCACGCTGAATTCATCATTGAAACAATACCGTGGTCACGCTGGAAGCGTAACTGGGCCCTTGATATCAGTCGAGGCAACGCCGTTGGCGTGCCTCTCAGATAGCAAACCCCCTGCTCCAATACTTTACACACCATCCACAAACTAACAAATAGTTGGCTCCATATCCACACAAAATCCCTCGCCGAGTCGCCAGCCCAAGATGGTTCCTGTACTTCCATTCGATTCCCTACTGTTGCCGTTAATTGGACATCATTCCAGAGCGAAGTATCGATCGAGGGACCAGTCTCATGCTCATTTTGCAGAGACAAGTCTTCCCCTGAATCATTGCTCATAGAATTCAATCGCCCACCTTTTCCGGAACCTTTGCCCTTGCCGGTCCCTTTCGCGCCTTTCCCGGTGCCCTTTCGCATCTTGTCATTTGGCTTTTGTACTCCACGATTTGGATTGAGCTTCTTCGACTTTACCCACGGCGGCGGGTGAAATTGTTGTGCTTCCGTAGGCGAAACAAATTTACACAAAGGATTTGTGCCACTTGCTTTTACCTCGGCTAGCTCGGCGGCGAGCCCTGCTTGAAACTGCGGCTTCGAAAAACTAGGGTGATGCGGCCTTCCTTTCTCATCCACAAGGACATCACAATACACTACTCGCGTCTTTGGTCCTCGTCTTAAGACCCGGCCTGCTTGCCTTGCTAATAAGTTTGGGCAGCAGAGTTGACCAGAACGATCGACAGGATGTCGACGACCATTACATGCGGGAAAGCTGCACACCCGGGGTTCCTTTGACCAATCTACGTGGGCCACACAGGCATAGTGCATCCCTCTCATGTGATTCGGATCACCACATAAAAACCATTTCTTGCCTCCCTTATCGGTGTACTCCTCCACCGGATCACAAGTGATAAATTGCGCACTACGATCTTCTTTCGGGTAAAACCCTGCAGCATTCATAGGATTGTCCGGAGGACTCTCCTCAGAGCTTATCTGCATTTGCTGGAGAGGCTTCCTCGCATGTCGATTGATATTATAGTCATAGTGCCGTGACTCATAGTATGTAGCCTTGACGTCAGCCCGAGCTACACAATATTCGACCACCATATCGATGGTGGCATTCTCCACACCTCCCTGGTTGATGAGACTCTCCTCGAATGAATCTGTATAATCAAACGGGAGAGATCGGAGTAGACCTCTTACAAACCGCTTTAGTTCTTGCGATGTTCCCACTCTGTCTTTCGTCGTGAAAACTTGACCAGAGTGCTGCGTGGCTCGCTCGCTCATTAGCTCTTGGAACTTGTTTCGAAACTTCTGGCAATATACTCCTACTTCCACTCCCGTGGTCCCAGACGGCTGCAACCGATAGAGCTGGGCCTCCAACTCTTCCTGCACCACAATGGGCCGAAGGCCGCACTGTTTGGTGAATTGCTCCCGAAATACCATCAAGCAGGCAGCACTGAGGAAATCCCGAGATAAATTCGGATACCTCCGCGCCTCTGCCTCAACTGACTCCACCACAGAATCCGCGACGTTATCGCCGGATTTGTGTGCTCCATTCACGACTGCTTGCCAGCCATGATTCGGCGACTGAAGGTGTTCCAGCCGCAATCGATCCAATGCCTGCCTGGATGCCAGAGAATCTTCAATAGATTTTGTTTCCAACCTCACCGCTGAGGCGTGCATTTTAGAAAGCACGCCTCCGTCTTGGGACTTGGAGTTGTCAACTGTCATTAACGCCGCTTCATACAACCTTCCTGCAACCGGTCTAGCTAATACACTCTTTACACCCTCAAACTTGACGCTATCAAGGTAAGTGTGAATGTCAAATGCTACCGTATATCTCTCGAATGTGTTCGTGGGAAAATTCGCCCCCATCTTTTCAATACAAAGTCCTATACCACTGGAGCGCGTCACTGTATCTACCACTGGACAACAACGAACAATTCTAAAACCCGCAAGGTCTAAATTGTCTTCTACTGTTTTGCGCAACCTGCTAGTACCTTCGTTCGCAGCAGATTCACAGAATGTACTCTGCTCCCACGGCTGGAGCGCTTTGTCAAAGGAACCAGAGCCTAAAAAGGAAGAAGCCAAAAAAGGCATTCTTTTGGAATCCTGACCCGAAACCGAAACCGGAACTGGAGCCGAAGGGTCCTTCTCGGTGACACCTTGGTAGTGACTGTACATCTCATAGGCCATCACTGCAAGAGCGAGTAGCAAACTGAGGTAACTCAGTGCCACGGAAACCGCATCGAGGAAACCGGACCGGGCTAACGCAAACCAGCCGTAATCCGAATCCCAGTCGTCGTACTTATCTCCAGGGTGATGGTGAGCTCCAGGAGGTGGCGGTGGTGGTGGTGGCGATGAAACCGGCACGGGTGTCCGCGACATGTTGCTTACGCTTACCAACCCCGATAGGAAGGCAGAGGCGACCATGAAGGTCGATAAACCGTAACCGCATAC